CGCGGCCAATGTTAAGATGGGCATTTGTGGTTTGTTGGCGAGAACGCTGCCGGTCGAAAAAGATCAATTAGCTTTGGGATTGGCGCGTATCGCCCCCAGCCGCTGGGGAAGCGCCGGTTGGCCCCAAATATAGGGTTTTGTTTTACGCCTCCGTGGCGCAAGTGCAATGGCCATCTGTTGATGAAGCCCTTCCAAACACATCCAACAGCGGGCCCCGCAAAGGGAGCAAGACATACCGTAATCGGGTGGGGTGGGAACGCACAAAAAAATATGTGCAGGACTCGGCTGCATAAGGGAAAACGAAGAGCCACCGGCTTTTAAAACAGGACGGACGCACTTCCCACCCATACAGCGCGATAGCATGTTCAATAACAAAACAGACCCGGTCGCACGGGGAAGTGGCGGTAGCGGCAGCAGTGGTTGGTCACGATTTCGGCCACTGCTTGTTGAAAGGACTTCGAAAGCACGCGGATCCGATGGAGGCCTCTTGGGGCACGCCTCACTCCTTGCGCCATTGGATTGCAAGCGCCAGCAACTCAGTGCAGTTGAACATGTGGATTCGGGAGCGGTGGGAAAAAAGGACGGTGGTGCCTTTTTTTTTGTAGAAGCGGAGGACGGATAAGATATTTTTTCCATTTTCAAGTTCACATAATTCTTCAACAGTCACATCGCACTATGGTTGCTACGCACGGTGAGGAAAAACGGTTGCCCTTGCAGCGAGTCGGCGCAGGCACTTTTTCCTTACATCGTATAAGACAACGATGGAATCCCATCACCCAGGGGGTCTCCTTGTGAGGATGTGGAGTACAATGTGTCAATACGCCGAATCGGCCTGAATTGAATAAAAACTCAATTTATGAACTATAGACAGCTATGCAAGGCTCGTGAAGCATGAAAGGATTACTTGCCCAGCTTATCCACACCCATCCGCGGGTTGTGTAGTGCCTTTTGTTGTAGAGAGCAAAGTGTCGGGGGAGAGGCGACACTTACAGCCTGATCTCTAGCTAAAAACGGCAAGGGAAAACCACAAAATCACGGCTCCATCGGGTTGAATTTGCCAGTGTCTGCGCGCGTCGTGGTGCAAGACCGCCACTTTATTCTATTTAAAAGCATTCTTTTATAAGATGTCTTTTTTTGAAGAATATATATGCGCGGGATTCCAGTGTAGAGCGGACGTATAAAAACATGTGAGTTTTGCAGACCCTGCAATGGTCTATGGATCCGGCTCTGGAGTCCACCGTGCCGTTACTCAGGTTCGAGTGGATGACCTCGAAATTGTAAACCTACAATTTGTCTCGCCTCGTGAATTGAGAATTCATTTTTTTGCTTGGCAACATTTAAATGGGGGCTCTGGTAAAAATGCAACACATGGGGTCGCCAAATCGCCCAGGGTGTGAAAGGCTGTGGAGCTGTAGTGGAAGAACAGCGGCTTCTCACTAAGAATTGTGAATTTGTCGGTGTCCTGTTCGACTGTGAGGCGAAGGCCACGCCAATGAGTCAGGGAACTGCGCAATGACTACGCGAGGCCCAATTTTGCGTTTTGCCTCAAGCTGAATATCGATTATATGGAAAGAGCAATCTCCCACATAATGTGCGCGGCATAGGTTCGGAGATACGCTGCATTTACTTATTATTTCTTTCTGAAACGTTATTCGAAGACGCCTGTCACGTCTTCATCGATGATTGGCACGCGCACGAAGGATCAGGCCCAATTGCCGCTCCATGCGCTAAGGTCTGGTCGGGCGTAGCTTGACAATGCGTCTGTTTCACAGTCAGTTCCAAAATAAACTGCCGAGACGCCGGTGGAATGATGCGTTCATGTAAGGGTTGGGCGCGTTTCGATTCAAAGAGGCGCGTGAAGAAGTAGTTACTGGGGGCACGTAGGAACATATTCCTGCGCAAGATTTTGCAGGCGGAAACACACGCCGTGCGCTTGGGACTCTGGGCTGTAAAAACAAAACTCCATCGACGCAAGTCGAGAAGCCACGAGGAATAAAAAAAAAGCTAAGCATCCCTTCGCAGATATTTGTCGATAACAAGGCCGTTATGCACGGCATGGGAAGCGGCAATACACATTCGGACGCCTTGTTTTGGCAGTTGTGCCTCTGTAATGGGGCCCCGCAATGGTTTTTGTTCGCCGTGACGCCGGTGTTGTGTCCGTGGTGGCCACTATTCTCTGCTTGTTTGCTCGTCTGCTTGATGAATGAATTGTGCGCGCCTTCTCGATTAAGAGCCAACCGCTGGATCTTGCTAATGGGCATGACGTCTGCTCGGTGTAATTGAATACTCCTTGGTGGCACTTCCTTTCTTTTTTTAGTTCTCTCAGTTTGATACTGCACCGACTTCGCTGCCTACCAGATAGCATGGCGTCATATTCAGTCCAGCAGGATGAGGGCAATTCAGCAGGAACACACGCGACCGCCCCACTGAATGCCGACGAGGAACAATGGGATCTGGTGGTGGACGCCCCCCAATCATACGCCGCTTTGTTGGGGGTTTTAAAGGAAAAAGAAGAGGCGCTATGCCTGGCCAGGCTGCAAATTACGGAGCTACAGGCTGTGAATGCAATCTTGGAGAAGGATTTGTGCATTGCAACTGAGAAGCTTGAACTGAGGGATGCTGAGGAAGATGAAGAGGAAGATGAAGATGAAGAGGAAGATGAAGATGAAGAGGAAGAGAACAAGGAAGAGGAAGAGGAAGTGAATCCCCCAGCGGCACAGCAAGTGAATGCGCCAGCGGGGCAACAAGTGAATGCGCCAGCGGCACAGCAAGTGAATCCCCCAGCGAAGCAACAAGTGAATCCCCCAGCGGGGCAACAAGTGAGTGCGCCAGCGGCACAGCAAGTGAATCCCCCAGCGGGGCAACAAGTGAGTGCGCCAGCGGCACAGCAAGTGAATCCCCCAGCGAAGCAACAAGTGAGTGCCCCATCGGAAAAGAAAGAGGGAGAGTAAGTGAGAGGGAAAGAGGGTGCGCAAGGGAAGAAAGGCAAAGTTTGCCCGGAACGACTTTTTGTCTGAAGGTGCAGTGCAACTGAGAGGCTTCGAGTGAGGGATCCTGAAAGTGAGGAATTGAGAAGGGAACCGGGGAGCTGCAATGCGCGAAAAATGAGCCTGAGGGTGAAGTTGTGGAGGAGTTCCCGCGGCGGGACAACAACATCCGCAAGCGTGAGGTCTCGGAAAATGAAATATACTAGGAAGGTGCTGAGGGAGAGGAAGTGGGAGAAAACCCTAACAGTTGCTCTTCGGGGAAGGGAGGCCCCCCTGTGAATAAAAATCAAATGTAAAATAAACGTGTGTGTGCATGTGTGTCTCTTGTGTTGTGCACAACGCAGTGCTTTGGCGAAATATCCTGTGATGATGTGCCCAATGATTGACCAGTGCGGCATGGACGCATGTCAAAGCCAGAGGTGCATCTAAATGTTGGCTTTGTTCGTTCCGCACGTCTGAAATTCAGCCATGATGCTGTCTCGGGGGAGGTGTGGGCGCATTCCCAATAAAAGGCGAGTCTCTTTTTGCGGTATTGCTTCTTTTTTTGCGTTTTCGCAGTTTAATCCTGCATTAACTTTTTTTTCAGGGGGGCGATCATCTAGGAGCTTGTGGGAAGAATGCGTTTCCAGGTGTTGTGTCTGACCAATTTGTTGGAAAGGTGTTTTCTTTCATTGCTGTCCTGTCCAAACAGGGGCTTTCGAGTAGGGTCCAGAGGGAAAAGGAACTCTTTTTAGCTTTACCGTTCCATTCTCCACCAGACTCTCGCCGTGCGACGGGGTCCCTGGAAGTGTGGGATCCCAAAGTTGCCCTTTCGAAAATAGAATGTTATGCTGATAAGTGGTATGGGGAAGTGGTTCTTAATGGGGGAATGTCCAACCGAGTAGATGCGACGATTCAGCGAAAAAATAAAAAACGAAGAAAGAACGAAGATCCATTGTGGGGTCTTCTGATTATTTTTTTTTCTTATCCCTCTTTGATCTTCGCGATGATGAAGGCTATAGAGACCACGGCATCAAACAAATATTCCGTGCTAAGGACTGTCTTAAGGCGTATTTGCTGGCAATGCTCTGAAGCAAGGCGATGCCCACCTACACCTCCGGATTGGAAGGCAAAATAAAAAAATCCCTTTGAAGGAAGGCCCACACTGCCAGTTGGACTGCGTTGGGCCTCGGTCTTGTCGTATGGTGAGATGTGGGGGTGTTATTTTGGGATAATGGCTGCTCGAGCGCAGTGGCAATTATCTCCACATACGAAGCCCCCGTTGGCCGCAAATTGCACGTCGACGCCTCGTGTCCGTACGTGCCGCTTAATGCCCGCCAAACGCGGTGTCTCATATCCCCTCTCTACCTCGCAGGGGGGGGGNGGGGGGGGGGGGGGCGAACAACCCTGAGCAGAACTTCAGCCAACCACGCCGCGTTCGGTAAACATGCGCAGGTCCTGGATTCCGAGAAATTCGGATTTGTCAATGAGAACAACGTTAGATGAATATTTGTCAAGAATAATTTAACGCTCACGCGAGTTTGGCGGTAGGGTTACGTTCACCAACATGTTTATCGGTTTGTCAAGCGAGGCAACATAAGCCCCGTGCAAATTCATAAAATTATCAGGGACAACTTTACGCTCCATGACCGCAGCAGTCACATCGCGACGTTAAACATTTGAAACAGCGGGGCGCCAGCCTCATCGCCTCCCGAACCATCGTCACTGAAATCTTCACACCCCTCTCTGTGACATCGGTGGCGAATCCATCAAAACCGACGAGGTCTCCTTCTATGGGAGAATATTCACCGACGGCGAAGCCAGTGACTTCACTGCCTCCATTTTCCTTAACCGCTGTTATCTTCCCTCCGCATCCTGCCGTGCCTTGGGTTTACGTCAGCCACCACGCTGCTGTAGTCTGTTTGAAGTATTGCGCTGTCTTCGTTCAGTTGCCGCTCTTGGTGAGCGACTGCACTATCGCGGGCTGATGTCGCGCAGTGGATATCCCCTAGCTTGTTGATTAACTACGGCGGACCGATTGAAAAGTTCAGCCTTTGCAACGACACAATCCTTATTTAAGCTTCCCGCTGCACCGCCAAGGGGCTCTCTTCACGCCCCCAGATCTTTTACCACGTTTGGGCACGGAGGTAATAATTTCTGCTCATTATTTGAGATGGAAGGTATCCTATAATATTCGTCATGTTCTTAACGATTGTGGTACGAGCCCAAAGTCTTGTGCCGAACTGGGCTTTTACGGCAAGACCCGAAGGGATTCCCATGATAATCGCCTCATAACGGCGAAAACAACAATAGCCAGCGAGCGTGAATGTAACTGGTGTGGACCCCGCTTGATGGTGTACCAAATCCGCAATCCGGTCACCCGTGGTTTGTGCCGTTGGTCAGGGGTCTATGAGAAGCAATAACTATTACAAAAACTTGCGGGTGATTATTAAAATTTAAAACCCTTACACCCGGACTCTACTCAAGAGCCTCTGATGAGACATAAAACAAAAGAAGAAAACCACTGACCCCCCAAATACATTGGTTAGAGCAAATTTGGGCACTCATACTTTCCATGGGCTCCAAAAGCAAAAAGGGATATAGCGAAGGGGCCCGGGGATACAAAACCAAGACACTTAGCCCGACCTGATTTAACGTTGCCCTGCTGCCCTATTCAAAAGCAAAGGGGGACCCCCCCCCTCCTACACACAGGGGCAGGCGCCCTTGGCATACCCTTCTTTTTCTGTTACTTCCTACTGCCGTCGTTTTTTTTGTCCTTTTCCTTCCTTCCACCCCTGGTACCATGTCAAGCATTGGGTGGGATGAGAGATTCGGCCGCTGGGAGATACCGCACGCCGTGCCCGACAGGGGACTGCAGCAGCATCACAAACGGCTTCTTCTGATAATCAATAAGGTCGTTTTGCGCATTGTCAGTCTCCGCTTTCCTCACCGCTTCCAGTAGCTCTGAGTCATTGAAACAGAAGCGTTCATGCGGTGTTGGAAAGTGATGCATTAACATTGCAACAACATCCGGAAGATCCTTTTTGAGAACGAACAGAAAACAGTTTGCACCCGCGTCAAACGTGTACGCCAATGCAGTGCGGCCCTTCTTTGCGTTATAGGCCTTTACAAGGCGAATCATGGCGTAGCTGTCCTCAGTGGCATACTGTATCCGTGGCTCTGTCGTCGCACAGATTTCTTGTAGATCATCAGAGTCACTCATGGTTATCTCCGCAAAAGCGGCGAAATCCTTGGCTTTAATAGCCTCAGAAACAGCCTTCATACGTTCTGGTACAATTGTAGAGATACGCCTCGGCATCATAGAAGAAGTTTGTAGAGACTGCTGCATGCCTGCCGTACTCGAGGTGTCTTTTTTATCACCTTGTAGAACGGCGCACATAACCTGCATTTCGGGCCAATAGTTCTCGTCAACAAACTGAGTCGCAACACAATCACTTCCATCCGTTTTTTCTCCCTTGTGCCAAACCACAAAGCCACCAAAGGCACTGCGACAGGCGCTTCCAGAACCCAGACGAGCAAGCATCGAGACATTCGCTGTCGAATTAAATGCCCGCACCAGCGCCGCTGCGAGAGCGCAGTAGCCGCTAGCGGAAGATGCCATACCAGCAGCTGTGGGAAAGTTATTCTCTGAAACAATGTACGCTCGCTTGTTTTTCAAGCCCTCTGGGCACGTGCTCCGCACATAGTTCAATACCGATTGAACTCGAGGCGTGTTTCGCACATCCGTTTTTACACCATTTAGTATAAGCACGTCATCTTCGATATCGTCGCGGAGCACCACTGAGGTCTTGCTGCGGAACGGCTTGGTAGAAAGAGTGATGCTGAAGGAGTCGTTCGTGGGGAGGATCAGCTTCTCACCGCCTTCTCGCTTTCCCCAGTACTTGATGAAGGCAATGTTGATTGGTGCCTCGACAGTCACCGGTGAGTCAGTCATGGCGTATGTATTCGATAATTACTGCACAAGTATTAACAGAGATTATTTTTTTTTTGTTAATAACAATAAAAAGAAATAACAAAATTGCCCAAAAAAAAAGGAAAGAAAAATGCAATGAAACACCAAGACACAAAACTCTTGCCACAGAGGGGATCACTACTCTTGGCATCCAGGGTATTACCTTCACACACAAACAAACACAGCCTATTGACGCGCATCATTTCATCCCCATGCATGACAGAAGCATATCCATGGCCTTGTGGTGCGCCGCGTGCAGAATCACAGAGGGGTCGTATGGGCGCAATTGGTCAATCGATGCGTCTTCGCCCCAACCAAACGCGGCCAAAGGTGACAATGCTTCTTCGGCATTCGTCTGCCCTCGAGTGCGCTTCATTCTGTTACTCGTCTGCTCAGTATGCCCCGTCAGGAGGCTCAAAGCAAGAGCAGCGTCGTTTTCGTGGTAAAACTCCACAATGGCATGGAAGGAATTTCCGTCGGCGGACACATTGAAGCAGTAATCCGTGACTGGCCCCACATACCTCGTGAGTTTCGACACCAAGCCCGCCGGGTCGAAAAAATCCAAGGGTATTCGTGCAGCGTTGCGGATTCGCTTGCCTCGCTTAGTGACCTCGCGCTTCGTTTCGCCACTATCACCACCACGGCAGCTGCTCTCTTCTGTGTCGTTGGACACATTTCCATTTCCTCGAAGCAACACCACCACCTCTTCGTCAGCTTTATGAAGCTTTTCCTCTGTTGCCAGGAGCGCCTCCTGCACACGACAATAGGTTTCTTGAAACTCTCGTAACCTCTGGGCGAGTTCAGCAGCCTCACTGCCATCACCATCCGCAGACACCAGCTCAGGTATGCAGTCCACCAGTGCCACATCAACCTGTAGGTCAGATGGCATTTGGTGATTCAGTGGAAGGAGAGGATTCGCCACGAGCGTTTCTCCCTTCTCAGGGGCATCTGGCGCGGAGTTCTCCTCGGCGTCTGCATCGCTTGCTGTTCTTTTGGTGTATACGGTCGAGCGGATGTGAATCACTTGATTTTTCAGCCGTTCACCATCAAGGTAGTTCACCGCTTGCTGCGCGGCTGGGGCGTGCTTGAAACGAACCCAGTAGAACGACCGTTGCTGCGCCGTATCGTACTGCATCTTCATTTCTTCAATGTCATCGATGATTTTCAGCCAATCGTGCACGTCATCGGCAAGCACCACCGATTGGTCCTCCACAAACACATGGACGACTCTCGCCTCATCTCTAGTGGTCATCTTTCAATTTCCCCAGAAAAAGAGAAAAGTAAGAAAAGCACGCGCGCGCAGAAGAAAGAGAGATGCGTAGAAACACGCAGCCGAGCCTTTGTGCGTGTACACACACGTTTTCTTGCTTGTGTTGTCTGACGGAGATACCAGCACGCACACACACACACACACACACACACACAAAAAGCTGCGACCACACCGCATTTAACAGAGAGAGAGAGAGAGAGACAGCACAAAGAAGACAACAACAAAAAGGCAGTGTATACTAAATAAATTTATGAGCAGAGTATACACCACGCATGCGTTTTTTTGCCACCATATTCCTGTCAGGCCTTCTTGCCCCATATCAGCGCAGAGAGAAATTTAAAAAAAGTAAAAGAAACCAGAATATATTAGTCTTCATTGATATGACGAGAATTTTCCTAGCGACTTTTTTGATCCTTTATATGAATCAACATAATTTCATCATGCATTACGGCTCCAATCTACTCACCGGCGTTTTTACCAACGTCATTGGATCTAGGGGACTGGTTATCGTACTCCCTCTCTTCAGTCGTCAACGATACCTCTGTGTCAGCTAGACCTGAAAGGGATCGTTTGTGTTCTCGCAACAAGAAGTAGTACACGGCAAGCCAGCATGGAATTGAGAAGGCGAGCATGGAAAACACAATCAGAAGCGAATTACGTAACTGAAATTCATTGACGCAGTGTCCACTGGAGCCTTCAGTGGTACTGTTTATCCATCGGCATTGATTAAGGGTGTCGGCGATGCACGAATCATAGTTATAATTTGGACACCCTTGAGAAAAGCAGTTGTCAGAGAGATACCCTGCGAAGGTCGGAGACGGAAAGTCGCCCAATAAATGAATGAAAAAAACAGAGTAACTCACTGCGTATGGCTTTAATTCCGATGGCACCACTGTTAGAATAGCTGCATTGACAGGGGCTGTTACCGCAAAGAGAGCAAATACGGAAATCACCAATATTGGGATGAAGAGCCATATAGTTGTCATAAAAAGCGCCACCAAGCCTAATGGAACAGAGATAACCATCATGACCGTGTCAAAAAGGTGGCATTTCATTGCTCCCAAGCGGCCACGACTTCCGCCCAGCTTGTCAACAGCAACGCCTCCCACGACGCAACCAAAAACACCGGTGAGGGCAGTGACTCCGCCCATTATCAATGCGGAGGTCAGATTCGAGAGCTGCATTGGTCCCTGAACAAGCATAGGTATTGCCCAAACCGAAACCGCTCCCACCACAAAACAGTACATTGCATAGCCTAATACAGTAAGAACATACTTGACATTTGTAAGAAGCTTAGCGGTTGCTTTGTGTATAGGAAGATATTCCGCTTCATCCGAAGCCAGCCGCAGGTTATAATTTGAAGGTAGAAGCGCAATAAGTAGCACAATGGGTATAGCTGCTACCACCTCACTCAAGAATGCAACACGCCACCCCTCGAGGCTGCCAATCGCGCCTACAGAGCTTATAACTCCACCAAGTCCCATACCCACTGCAGACCCCACGGGAATCATAGAATAGAACGTGCCTATCCACAATGTACGGGAATCGTGCGGTGCAATGCGGTCAATGATAGTAACAGTGAAACCGACAAACGCCGCTTCACCAACGCCGACAATAATACGGCAAATCAGTAGGAATGTGTATGATTTAGCAAGGCCTGTACCAACGCAAAAGATGCCCCAGGCTACCATTCCACCAACTATCATCCATTTGGATGGCACGATTCCACCAAATGCTGCGAAAATGGGACTCGTAGTCATAAAGCCGATCATAAAGCCGGAAATAAGGAAACCACTTCGAGTGTCGCTCAATGTCCTCGACTCACCAGAGATATTGCTGTCTTCTTTAATAACTGCCAAACACCCAGCCATCACACCACGATCGTAGTAAGTAATAAAGTTCAGCGCTGTGAATACGACTAATACAATCCTCGGTGTCATGACGCGTTCCCAAGAGGTTTGGCTTTCAACAACCGCAAAACCCTCTTCAGTGGTGTCTTCTCTTACCTCATACGGCTCTGTTGGCGACACGTAATTATGGGTCGATCCGTCTTTGCGTTCGTCCGCTTGCATATCACGCGATCTTACTGCTGGCAGAATAAAAAATAAAATAAAAAGTACAGAGAAAGATAATACGAATAACATACTAGTAGCATCACCAGCAGTCAAATATCTCTGCTCAAAGAGGGATGTCACTCATGACATTTGCGCATTTCCCAATATTCTAACAGAATAAACTATCCTCAGCATCCCTTTCACAGCACAGCCGAGAAACCAGCAAAAAAAAAAAACCACAATCATAATTATGGGGCAAAAAAAAGGAATAAACCCAAGGAACAACAGGTCAAGAAAAAAAAAAAAAACAACTAAAACGATCTGAGAACCTTTAATGCAAGCAAAGCAGAAGCGACATTGCTCGTCTCGGGCAGAGTATCAACCAAGTTCCAGGCAGTGCGCGCCCACTCAGTCTGCTTTGCCGTATCGGTGAGGTGAAGGTAGAAGACGGAGTTGTTCCATGCCTCTACAGCGAAGTACTCGAGAAAGAGCACTGCAAAGGCCATGGAGTGACTTGCAACCGTCCGCACGCCATCCACATGAGAGCGCTTAAAAAAACAGGCAACTGTAAAGCTTCCAATGCTAGATGAGAGCCACTCCAGAAGCCGCTGCACCACGACCAATTCTTCTGTTCGATCAGAGGCGAGTGTAAAAGATTTATAGAGACATGACAGGACATCTGTAATGTAGTCCGCGCAACTTCTATCTCCCTCACCGCCAAGCTCCGACGAGGAGGAGAATGAAGAGACGGCGTCCATCACCGCCACCGCAGCCCACATGTTAAGCTTCATGGCGACTTCGTGGAGTGGTGGATGTCCCACTTCACACTGAGAGGCTACAAAAGCGGCACCGTCTGCCAAATCCTCGTAGTCTTCGAAGGCCGCCGGTACGCCGGAGAGTTCCTCCAAAATCGCCTCTATTCGCTTCGGTGTCTCAGGTGAGGGACTACGAAGGTGGTACTCCGCCTCTGCCAAAAGGAGTGTCACACGACACTCCACGTCAGGCGTCGTTGAAAGGACCTCCCTGCACAGGCGAAGCCGCTCGTCCAGATCATGAGGGTCCATCTGCGGGCGACCCGCGGCGAAAAGCTGAAATTCGTCCTCCATGCTGCACAGCAGGCCTGCCAAAAGCAGCGAGTGCGACGGACCATCGCTCGGGACAGGATCCTGCAGTGCAATGAGCGTTGCCACACGAAACAGCAAGACACTCGTGGGCCCCGGGCCATCTGTAAACTCGGATCCCAACACAAGGAAGACTTGCACCCACCACATCACCTCCTCGTGCGTTAGCGAAACCGCAGCGCATTTGTCTGATAACAAGCGTTGGAGCCGCTCCGCTACGGCACACAGGTGCTCGTCCGTGCAGTTACACGCCTTGCTCAACACGGAGGCCACGTACACCCGCGACAACTCGAGCTCCACGCGAACGTCGGAGATGGAAGCAGAGGAAAAAAACGCGTGTCTAGCGGCGAGAGAAACCCCATGAAGATAGCCACGCTTCAAGCAGTAGTTGATGCCGGTACAAAGCGCAGGCATCACCATTTCAGCGGGTTCACAAGTCAACAAACACTGCAGCTCCTGCTCGAGCTCCGCCTCATTAGACTCCAATACAGCCACCTTGAAAAGGAGACAGCGGAAAAATGGACACCGTGACTTCCTCTCCTTAAACTTCAGAAGAATTCGCTTCGCGTTCTCCAGCGCGCCGACTTCCTGGTCATCTTCGTACACAGCGATGTACTCCGAGCACAGCCGAAGGTGAACGGCATCGATCTCGCTGTCACTGGCGCAGTCTTTAAGTCGTAGTGCTACCTCGAGACTCTCCACAGCCTGTGTCCGTGTAAATTCGGCGGTGTCACTGAGTTCCCATAACCATATGAAACAGTAGCGGCGGTACTTGGCTTCTTCAAAGTCTATGGATTCTTTCTGTAAGATCTGTAACGCCGCCTGGCACGATGAGAGGCATCCATCGCGGAGTAAGAGCTGGACGAGTCGAAATGCAACAGATTCTCTGGATGCAGTGCCCTTTACTCTTTGAAGAAGTAGACGCATGCCTTCTATAGAGCTCTCCTTGGCATTGACTAAGAGATTCTGAAGCTCAAAGCACGCCGCCACAGCGTCGTCCGCCGACACATCCGACCTCTGTACGTACTCGTGTAGTAGCACACCAGCCTCTGCCTCCATGCCGGCCTCAGCACTTGTCTTTAGGCGCAACAATGCAGAGCTGCTGGTGTGCAGTGCTGCATCCGCCTCTTTCGCCCAGTGTGCTGCCTCTGCTGCATTTCCCTCGCGGAGGCACGAAAGTGCCAACTGCTCCATTGTAGCACCGCGCAGCATTGTTAGGTGATGTGGTGCATCACTTGCTCCACTCTCTTTGAAGTAATTCTGCACGTCAATAGAACGTAAGAGCATGTTACGAACATACTCCTCTGCATTCATTGGTAAACTGTTGTTGCCAATTCTGAAGACGAACCGGAAAAAAGCCTCCCGGTGGTCGCGCTTCAAGCTGTCATCCTTCAGCAACATCTCTGAAAGCCTCTGAGACGCCTGGCATGACGCTTGATATTCCCCAATGTTCCACATAACGTCCATAGTTGTGTACGCCAACTCCCAGGTCATGTTGCGGTGTTTGAGATGTGTGAGACTCTTCTTCACACCAGGACGTATGTGAGACGCAACGGCTTCGCCCACAGCAAGTAACCCTCTTGCACTATCGGCCATACCACACAACGACAAGTCCCGTGATGTTTTAAGACACATAAGAAGACATTGCTCAGCTTCGCGTGGGTGATGCGTAAAGTAGCCATGGGAAACATCCTTCGCTGAGTATGCGTAGTTACCGAGAAGGAAGGCCCGTGTGGCAAAGTCACGCAATGACGCCCTCAACTTTTGCTCCTCCACATCGTCTTGTTTGGCGGTGTGCCTCACAGTCATATTCCAGCACGCGCTTCCAAGCACGCGCAGCTCTTCGAGTGACTTCACAGGAAGGGCACCACACCCTTCTTGTCCCGCTGCCACCGCCGCCTCCACGACCTGCTTAAGACTCTGAACGTCTGAGAGCAGGCCACTGGTGTCGCCGTTTGCTCCGTTGTCTTCGTCGCGTGTGACAAATCGGTGAAGCACCTCGTCCAGCTTAGCGCCAAGCTGCTGTATGTCCATCCTTAACGATGCGGAAGCTTACACTTGCAATGGGAATGATTGAGGAAAGCAATCAAACAACAACATTAATAATAATGATAAAACAATAAACATGAATAAATACTGAAATAAAATGAAGGCAAAAGAAAAGTATCAGGAGTTGCACACTATCACACAGAAACCGATACCAAGTGTTTCTGCCGGCCCTACACCACCGCTGCCACTTCCATTGCATGCTTGCCTAACTCGGGAGAGGGTAGCAATAAACAGCCCCGGACCAGCACCTCCCTTTTTCTCTCACTGCGAAGTCTTTTGTGCCGCGATCGTATTTTTGGCGGTCTCTAGCTCCTCATCTGTTACAAGTTCCTTTTCTCTTTCCCTAACCATCTGCAAAATTTGCTTTGACACACGGTGTTCACGCACCTTTCGCTCAAGAACGGGTGTCGTTGGACCAACTGTGTATGCATGGTATACAAAAGAGAACCATATATTCCCAAAGAGTACCGCACATACAAACACCATTGTCATCACAAACGTTTTCCACAACTGCAGTTGTGTTTTGCGCCAAATCCAACGGGCGCGGTTCGTGCGAAACGGTTTCGTCAGACGCCCGATTTTGTTCATTGTCAACATGCGGAAGAACATCGTTCGTCGTGCGAGTGTATCCTTCACCGGTCCCGCCCCAGGGCCCCACATGCCAGGCCGATCCGTGTACTTTGACGGTGTTGGTGCCAGATGCCCGCGGTTCATGCACCGCCGCTGACATCGCCGAAACATCTTGGAGAAGCTCCCTTTTGCCTTTCCAAATACGGAGTTCTTCGCCCTTCCCCCCTCCAAACCACAAAACGAATATATATATATATATATATATATATTTATAAAGAAGTATAAAAGAGTGAAAAGAGACTTATTAGCGGCGGCAGTAGTATGAAGGAGTTTTACTTGTGGACAAGACAGAAAAGGTAAAGTGGCGAAAAATGGGATCATTCATTTTATACAATAGCAAAGCGAGCGAGAGAAAAAAAACCCACCACCAGAGATGGGGCGCGTAACACTTCCTCTCCCTATCCCCATGTTTTACATCAAACAGAGGCACCAGATGGGGCACAGGGGGATATATAGGACGGTTGAGAGAGAGACACAGAAGGATAAGAGAGGGAGGGAGGAAAAAAGGGCCCATTCTCAGTTTCTCGTACTCCTCTTAGCGCCTCCTTGGGGGAGGCTTGGGCTTGTTGACAGTTGTTGCACATCGAGGAATGTGCCGCTCCGCCACATCCGGGGCAAATTTCCTACCACAGTGCGGACAAGGTGTATAATGGCTGTTCTCACTATATGTTGGCGGAGGGAGATCTCTTGCATTGCCACCAGACTTGAGCACCTTGTCAACCTGACGAGCCTCTCGCATCGCACGTCGAAACGCCTCACTTTCTGCTCGCCAGTCTTTCTTTGGAATAGATGGCACCGGACGGGGGCTATTACTTGTCCTTGCTGTGCGCTCCGCTCCTGTACCTGAGAGACGCCTCGCTCGCATGTTAAAAACTTTTCGTTGCTTTTGTGCAGCACAAACACGTTCATGTCGCTGTAATGCCTCAACAGTGAACTTTCTTCCACATTTGCCACACTCGATGCGGTCTCCAATATCAACGGCTTCATCATCATATTCGCGCCCTTCTTCGGTAATATGTTGTTGCGGTGTACGTCTCTGGGACGAGAGAGAGTTCCCTCTGGCTACGCCTTTCGATGTCTGGGGAGTATATCCAGTAGCATCATCAACGTCTCCTTCTGTTTCCTTTTCTCCTTCTTGTCTTCTTGGGCGTTGTTTCTTCGCCACTGTCGAGGATGGCGACGATGACGCAGCAGCGACAGCAGCATTAGGAGCAGTAGGAGTAGCAACAGCAGCTGGAGGATGCGCTTTTGGCGAAGTCGTCGTGGTTATCTTCGGAGAGGCGTGCGCCTTGACCCCATCTGGCGGCAACGTGGACGGCTTTTCGTGTGGATGACCGTCAAGCTTGTCGACTGTTACCCTCTCGAGGACCCCACCGCATTCCTCGCAGAACTTTGCCGATAGCTCCTCGACAGACTCACAGCAGTTTCTGCACATCATGACCTCCTTCGTTGCCACTGCTGTTGCCGCAGGCTCAGCGTCTCCAAGGGCTGCACCACAGTTGTCGCAGAAGTTACCGTCAGCGTCGCAGATTGCTTTACATGCTGGACACATCACGACACGAACGGAGGGGGCGTTTACGTTCTCTACTCCTGCCGTCCGCTCGTCAGCCGCCGCACCGTTGATCGGCACGCCGCACGTACCACAAAATCTCGATCCCTCCGGGATCTGTTCCCCGCACTTCCCGCACGGGTTGGAAAGGCTCTTCGAAACGAGGCTTGTCCCACAATCTCTACAGTACTTTGCGGACGCATCATATTCCACAGCGTTACACCGGGGACACGTGCGCCCTTCAGGGTCAACCTTCCCATCCTTCGGCAGACGTTTCGTCTTCGGGTTGAGTTTCGGTACGTCCTTGGCGGTTCCGGACCCACCAAGTGCGCTGCTTTTGGTAGTGCTCATACTCCTATCCCCGCTATTCGTGGCGCCAGCGCCCGTACTCCCCATACTAGAGCGCACAGTAGAAACACGTGGTTCAGAGGCGCGCGGCGTTGACGACGCCGACGACAGCGGCGGCGGCTTTGCCGTGGAGCCGGGCTTGCACGACCGAAGATGAACGACGAGACGATCGGCAAGGAATTTCCGCCCACAATTGGGACAAGGTTCCAAATTACTCACAAACTCAGCAAATTGCGCGTCATTATGTTCTTCGATGCCCCCACCTTCGCCCTTCCAATTGACGGAGTCGGGGTGCTTTGGTGGCTTGCCCCGTGTATTCACATCGGCGGCCTCCCATTGAGCTAATTTTTTGGTATAGCACTGAGGCACATGAATTCCTATCGAGGTGCTGCCAAACTGCTGTCCGCAAAGATAGCAGATGGGTAGCTGTGGCTTGTATCCGGGCGAACGTATAGACGACCGACTCGCACTCCTCTTTGTGGACCGTGGACTTATTGTCGCTGCTGACGATGTACTTTTCTGAACAGAGGACTGACTGGAACCCATAGTACCGTTATATCCGCCGCCACCGCCACCGCCACCGCCACCGCCACTTGCACCTCCTCTCGACGCGCCGCGCCCCCCACCTCCACCGCCGCCGCCTTTGCAGCTGCGAAGATGGACGACGAGACGATCTGGAAGGAATTTTCTGCCACACTCACGACAAGGTACTAAATTGGCAGTAAACTCATGAAATTGGTCGTCGTTTAACTTCTCTTGGCTGATTCCCTCCCCTTTCCAGTTGACAGTATCGGGGTGTTTCGGCTTTCTGCCTCGTGTTGCTGGGTCAGACACCTCCCATTGTGCCACCTTCTTGGTGTAGCACTGGGGTATATGAATACCAATAGATGCACTACCAAATTGCTGTCCACAGAGGTAGCATACCCGCAGTTGGGGCTTAAACGCCGGTCCCTTTCGGCTAGCGGACAGCATCGTCTTTCGTCCCTTCTTTGTTTTGTTTAGACGATACGATGGAATATACAATGATCGTTTATGCGTCACGTCCGAACCAAGAGGTAAGTTCGACGAACTTCCTTCTCACTATGCAAGGGGTGAAGGGGGGGGGG